ACAAAAAGGCTAAGAAAGAAGTAGGAGGAAGAAACAATATCTGTTTACCTAAAGCTATGAATACGGTGGTGAGAACATTTTCACGGATGGAATGGTGGGACAAACGCCAGATTGCAGGATTAAATGCAGCATAAGTAGAAGAATGAAAAAAGGGAGTATAGAATGAGGATGACTTTCTGAAGGAAGTTTTGCTATGAAATGAGGAAGACCGGATAGAAGAGGCTTGAATATATTTAAATGTAAATGAAAAGATGCCAGTAGAAAGAAAGAGAGAGAGGGCGATGGAGAGGACATAGTAAATAATCCATAGTTCAGGATCCAGATGGGGAAGGAAAAGGTAGAATCCAGTTACAGGTAGCATTACATGGAGAGCCACCTCTTCATTTATCAGATGGGAAAAAGGAAAGGATGGGTGCAGGTAAGTTTGTAGATGTAGTGGCAGGATGTTGATTTAGTTTCTCTCTGACAGCTTTTGTCTTCTCTGTGAAATTGGTGAAGACATCTACTGAGATGCTGTAGCAGTTTCAAGGAAAATGGAGAAAGTGTAACTGATCTTGGCAGAAAGTAGGGAAGTGAGTAGAAGCATGATAGGATTGCTAAATTGTATTGAGTGCCTAGATGAGATTGGTGACTCTACAGATGCAGAGTATGTATTCCTCTCAGCTGCATTTAAGAGTTTGGGTGCAGGCAGGGAGAAGGTAAATAACAGGATGGATGGCTACAAAGTAGATGAAATTATAGGACTGTAGAACACAGGTGTTTAGAGAAGAGAGTCTTTGAAAACCTGGACCATGAAATATAGGACAGGAAGTAAAATGACATACTGTAGGGGCGTCTGGGTGGCTCTGTTGGTTAAGAGTCCAACTTTGTCTCAGGTCATGATCTCACAGTTCGTGGGTTTGAGCCCTGCGTTGGGTTCTGTGCTGACAGCGCAGAGCCTGGAGCCTGCTATGAGTTCTCTGTCTCCCTCTTTCTCTCCCCCTCTGCCACTCATGCTCTGTCCTCTGTCTCAAAAATAAATAAGCATTAAAAAAAATTTTTTAATGACATACTGCAAATAAATCTAGATGGATAGAAAGAGGTGGGAAAAAGAGATCACTGTTTAGTGGGAATTTCTGTGCTATATGCATTTGCCATAGATGATTCCTATCATGAGCTAAGAATTCGCACTGAGGATTAGAATTCTAAAAAACAAGTCCTAGGTGTGTATATATATGTAAATAGATATATACAGATACAGATACATGAAAGAAACTTAATGCTTTAAATGTAGAATTAATTTAAAGTCTAGGTGTTGCTTTAAAAAAAAGAATGTCAGAAAATTAGTAATTACTACTTTAAAAAATGTCAATAACCTAGGAATGGGATAATAGTGGTATTGGTGGGAGTGAATTCTTAGCTCTAATCCTCAATAAGAATGATATATGGCTCTTTTCCAGTCTGTTTTGGTCATGGATTTTGGAATATACAGGGAAGGAACTATATAAAAGTTAACATAATTTGGTACAACTCCAGGAAAATATTTTTGGTTATAATAATAAAGGAGATAAATTGAGAAATTAGTTGCTGACCTCTTTAAGGACTTCAGTAGCTGAAAAATAAATTTTACTATGTGTGCATTTGTCCATAAGAAAGGAGAAGTAATAGAAACTAGAGAAAGCAATATAAAAGGGTGAGGAGGGGCACCTGGGTGGCTTAGTCAGTTGAGCATCCAACTCTTGATTTCAGCTCAGGTCATTATCTCACTGTTTTGTGGGTTTGAGTCCTGCATCCTGCTCTATGCTGATGGTGCAAAGCCTGCTTGGGATTCTCTCTCTCTTCCTCTCTCTCTGCCTCTACCCGACTTGCACTGTCTCTGTCTCTCTCAAAATCAATAAATAAACTGTTAAAAAAAAAAAAAAAGTGAGGAAAAGTAAGATAGAAAACTAAAATATATAGGATAAAACATGTAACTGAGTGTTTTATTTTAGGCCCAAATACTGTTTTCTGTTTGATGTGGGAAAGAAGTTGAGGCAAGGAGGTGCCAATAAGGAGAAAGCAGAGGGAACTAAGAAACTGGAGGCCTCTATAAATTCAAAATGCAGGTGGAACGCAAGGAAAGAAATGGGGGACAGGGGGAGGAGGCAAAATAAAGGAAGGTTGATCTGGTACCTTGAAGAGGTTCCTTAGTGAAAACAGTGGAAGAGATAAAAAGATACAAGATTATAGTCAAAAAAAAGAATAATTGTGGCTACTTTCAGGCTTTGGTGGCTGAAGATGAAGCTCTTTGGGATTGAAGATCTAAGTAAACTAGGAAGCTGGAGAAGATCATCAATATAGATGCTAAAATTGCCAGAGATGACAGTGGGGAGAAGTAAGAAGATGAGCCTAGTGCAAATGTTCCATACCTTAGCAACCAGGAAGGTATAGGTAATAGATTTCAAGGGAAGATGTTGATAAATGGTGGCCATGGAATGTTTCTCCAAAAGCAGCTATATGGAATAAGGTCTCTGTAGACCTCTTTGCTCTTTGAGTAGGAAGTCGAAGGAGTACCACTTAGGAGACCATGGTAAAAAGGAGATGTAGTGGGGGAAATAGTAAAGGTAAAGAGATGCAAGGAGGGCTTGAAAAACAAGGTAGAAAATATAGGGGAATATATAGATAATGAGTAGGGACTAGAAGATTATGGGCAGCCAGCAATGAAGTTATTGTGGAGGGAGGGAAGGGCTTAGCTGAATGAAAGTACTGGAAGGCCTTTCTACGGAAAGGTAGTTTGTACCTTAAGCAGCCTTGATGTATACATAATAGGGAAAGGAAAACTAGCAGTTGCTGGATAGACTAAAGCAGTGGCCTCCAAACTTGTCTCATCATTCCCTGAGTGTGAAATTGAGCACACTTCATTATATGTGTTATCAATTATATGTCTACACTGCTATCACTCTGTGTATTAATAGCGTATTTTTAATAAAAAATTAAAAATAGAAATTCTTATATTTTTTCCCTATATTCCACTATTAAGACCTTTGAGACATGTTAGTAATTTAGGGCATGGGTACAAAGCCTATTCAGTTTTATAACTGCAGGATCATATAAAAAGAATGGATTCCAAGGTTCCAGTTGGAATGTTGGTGTTGATGACATGACTTCTGTAGTCTTATAAGCTAGGCACTGACTCTTGTCACCTAATCTGTAATGCAAACCTTTTGTCTGTGATTATGGAAATACGTAACAGTAAATACCTTGCTTCTGGTTTCCAGCATAGAAATTTCAAGTAATTGTTTTTCTAGTATATTGGAAGGATTCTTCTCTATATTAGCCCTTTGGTCAGCACCTCGTAAAACAGATTGTTCTGGTAAGTAAATGCTGTGCTTTTTAACTATAAAAAGTTTGGTCAATAAAAAGGTTAGGCCATATTCCCCTTGAGCACTCAGGAGGAATGGCAGGTTTACTCTTTTCATCATTGACATTTTAATGAGCTATTTTCTCCAGAAAATATGTATAGTAATCAGCCTATACCATGAGTAAATTAAAAAAAAAAAACCTTTCTGTACCTATCATCTACATAGATGATGTATGTAATAATATAGTCTTAAGTGACAGATTGCTTCTCAGTTTTCATTAAATTACTAATACAACTGTTTGAGGTAGATAATTGTCCTTTTAGTATTGGCTTTGGGATTCATGGATGATTCAGGTGTTTCATTAGAGTACAGAATTTGACAATAATTTTGAGGCTATCAGAAAGGTATCTAATATCGTCTTGAAAAAAAAAAAAAAAAAAAAAAAAAAAAAAAAAAAGCCTGTAGGTGTGGGGGTGTGTTTCCTGTCAAAGTTGGAAAGGGATTGGGGAGAAGTAGATGGGGAAGGAACAAACAAAATTCATCTTTAGTCTGAACTTTCATATGCCAAGATTCAACCTACAGCAAGCTTTAATGGCTTTATAAACCCCTAAAAATGAGAGATTACTGTGGAATTGCTGATAGATCTTTAACAGTACATGTGTGTTGCATTATTACAATATTAACCTCAAGGATAGAAGACAATTTCAAGCCCTAGAATATTGATCAAAGGATTGAACACAAAGTATACATTTTTATTTTAATAATTCCTTGCCTGGAGTAATATTTGAAAAAGTGACACAAGAATTAGAACCACATGATAGCATTGGTATTAGCTGAAAACAAAATTTTTTAATGTTTTGGAATTTCATAAGCCTTTGATGTACATCTTCAGTGTATTTTAAGCTAATGACACGGAGCATTATCACAGGCCCTATGGGAGAGATTTTATATCATGTATATAAATTATATTATGTATATATAATTTTTTGGTAGTAACTATGGCACCATTCCTCAGAGACCTTGCTTTTTAAAAGTAGGTTAATGCATGAGATACCACAATCTAAATGTAGTCCAATAGATTATCTTAGTATGTTTTCTGAGGCATTCAAGAATGGAGTTGAGGATTAAGGAGATTTAAAAAAGGTAGTTGAGGTAAAAGTTGCAGCAATGACCTTTAGCTCATCACCTGATGTTTCCTTTAACCATTGTTCTCCTGCCATGCCTCGCTGCCTCAAATCTTTTTTTTTTTTTTTTTTTTTTTTTTTTTTTTTTTTGGTAATGGAAATAAGGTTTGAGAGAAGAAATTTTGACATATGGTAAACCTGACCTAAACACATCAAGTTCCTGTACACTGAACTGTAAGCGTATATTTTAAAACCCTGAGGAAGGTGCTCTGTGGCAGGGAGGAGCTTATCTGCATTTCAAATTCAGGATTTGAATTTGAATTTGAATTCAGGGTCTGGATACACACAACACTGATAAAGTTCTTGCTTCAGGGGAAACGAATTTGGTAGGAATAACAAGGAAATTTACTTTTCTTCTGATGTTTCAGATTTTGTATAATGGGCACAGTATTACCTATTATAAATAAAAGAACCTGATAGATAATCTTTAACATAGATAATTGCTCATTGTCTCTAAATTAATCCCCCCCTTTCTTATTTTCTTCAGGTGTTTGCAATGGCTGCTGCTGTGAACTTGGAACTTGATCCCATTTTTTTGAAAGCACTTGGCTTCTTACATTCAAAAAGTAAAGATTCTGCAGACAAGCTAAAGGCACTACTTGATGAATCTTTGGCTCGGGGCATTGATTCAACTTACCGTCCATCTCAAAAGGTACCTGCAAGAACTAAAAGCTTGGGGGGAGTTTTGTTAAGGCCTGCAGTAGAACAGTGTTAATATTTAGACCATCTTAAAACAGTCTCCCTGCCAAAATAATCTTTCATTGTGGCATGAAGAAATTATATTCTTTAGTGTTCTATTCTTCCTTCATGTTTTCAGAGAACTTTTACTCTACATGGAAAAGTTAGCTGGGTGTGAGGGATACTGTGTTCTACTTTATGTGTAGGGAAACCTACTTATTTATGATTTAATTTCTAATTGTTTCTCATCCCCCCAAATTTTAAGCTACTGGATGAAACCGTGACTTGTAATTATTCTCTAATGTTTTAATGTTTAATGAAGTAAAAGGACAAATTTTGCAATGAAGTAGATTGAACATGGATAGGATACTTTAAGGGGAAAAGGAGGTATGTGGATAAATTATGACAACTATGTGCCTCCAACTTTGATAATGACAAAGCAGCCAAACAACTTTATGTGAAAAGAATATACATTTGGAACCAGACAAACCTGTTTTGAATCCCAGTTTGCCTCTTACTAGTTGTGTAGTAATAGATAATGTATCTTGAACATTTATTGTGTTTCAGGTATTTTTCTGCTTGGTGTATGTGTATAATTAATTTTAATTGTGATAATGATCTTTTGAAATAGGTGTTATTTATTTTCATTTAAAAATAAGGAAACCAAGGTACACAGTAACTTCATTTCCCCCAGCCTCTATTTCTTCATTAGTAGAATGGAGGTAATAAGGATTACCTTGCAAAATTGTGAAAATTAAATGAGATAAAGCATGTAAGCCACCTAGTGCAGTATCTACCCGGTACATAATAGGCTCTTAGTGAATGGCAGCATTTATTATATTTGTAATACCTGAGACATTCTTTCAAACCTTTCCAAAGCTCTAGAGCCCTGAAACTCCAAAGTCATCCAGGTCTTTGGACCCAGATAACAAGATGAGAAAAGGAAGACAGGATTACATCACTAGCTCAGTCTAACTCACAATCTCAAATTAAAGACAGGCCCAAGTCCCAGACTCAGTGCCCAAGTAAACAGTGGTATTTTGTCCCCAGTCTTCTTTTAACACTAGCTCTAGTATTCTCAAGCCTTTTTATTGCCCTTTGAATAGTAGCGCCATTGTGTCCTCATTTCTTCTACCATTCTCATTCTGGTAAATTCAGTGAGTTCAAACTGGCCAAATTATACAGCTCTACAAAACACACTAGTAAGTTCATTCTGCTCTGAATGTTGATAATATCCCAATAGGTAAAACCTATTATTACTAAAGAAGCAGTACTGTATTTTGAGATTCTCAAACAGAAGGAAGTTCATCTATTAAAGTACATGAAAAATTTGTTTTGATTAAAAAGCCTCCTGCCCTTAGATTTCTAACTAGAGTTACTTCTTATTGATCAGTTTAGAGAAAATACTGTCAGGTATTTAAAAACCCTGGATTCATTTCATTGTAGCCTTCAGCTGCCATTTACATCTCTAGAGAGAGAATCACCTGGAGGCAGTGGTATGCTTATAAACATTAACAGCTGGCTCTCCAAGTGTAATTGCAACATAAAAATCAGTTGATATCTTCATTTACATCATTCAGTAAGTCCTATGTGAAATAATGAACTTAGATGGAACACAGTCAGTTAAATGTCTGACTCAGGATTTCAGGCCAGGTCTTGATCTCCTTGTTCGTCAGTTCTAGCCCCATGTTGGGGTTTTCTTTCTCCCTCTCTCTGCCCCTCCCCCTCTTGCTCCTAACCTCTCTCAAAATAAACTTAAAAAAAAAACAAACAACCCTAGAACTTAACTCCTCCGCCAATGACTTGTAACTTTTTTGCTGAATTAGATAATAGTTTTCAAATGCTACAAGATTATGTTTTTCGTTTTTTACGTTACACTTTTAAATTAATCTGCATTACTAACATTTTTTCCATCACTTTCCTAGGTCTACATGAATGGTCACCAAACTTTCTGTAAAGTATCAAATAGTAAATATTTTAGGCTTTGTGGGCCACATGGTCTCTGGCACAACAATCTAATTCTGCCATGGTCGCATGCAAGTGCCACAGATAATACATAAAATGAATGAGTATTGCTGTGTTCTAATGTAACGTTATTTATAAAAAACAGGCAATAGGCCAGATTTGGCCTCCAGGCCTCAGTTTGCCAACACCTCCTCCAGACAGCACAATAAATCAAGTGCAACTACCAAGAAATCGAAAGCCCCATTCTTTATCCCTTCCCTATTTCTTCCTCCTTGGAGGTTACTACTGTTCTGAATCTAATGTATATCGTTCCTATTTGTATTTTTCTACATTTATCTGCTGTCTCAAAAAAGTAGACTGCACTCAGATGTGCTAGTTTTATTTAGAATGGTAGGAAATGCCCTCCTTTTTTGAAGGGCGATTCCAAGAGGTATCTTATACATAAACTTTTTATACTATCTATTAGTAATACATAGCAAGTATAAATATCTGCAAAGTGGTAATATAAGAACAAGGATTGGAAGCATAAAACAGAATAAGAAGACAAGCCAGGGGTGGCTGGATAGCTCAGTCCATTAAGCATCTGACTTCGGCTCAGGTTATGATCTTGTGTTTCATGTGTTCAAGTCCCACATCAGGCTCTGTGCTGACAGCTCATAGCCTGCAGCCTGCTTCGTGGATTCTGTCTCCCTGTCTGCCCCTCCCCTGCTTGTACTCTGTCTCTCTCTCTCTCAAAAACTAATCAAATGTTAAAAAGAAAAAAAAAATTTTTAAATAAAAAAAAAGACAAGCCAGAGACTGGGTGAAAATATTTGTAAATTATGTGTCTGATGAAGGACTTGTATCCAGAACCTATAGAGAACTTTTTAGAGTCATTAATAAAACAAACAACTCCATTTTTTAAAAAGGACAAAACATTTTAATAAAAACTTCCAAACAAAATAACGTATGGTAGACAAGCACTTGAAAAACGATTCAACATCATTAGACATTAGGTAAATGGAAATTGAATCCACAGTAATATACTACTATATACCTCTTAGAATGTCTAAAAGTAAAAAGAGGATGTGTTGATGAGGATGTGAAGGAACTAAGACTCTCATATACAACTGGTGGAAATGGAAAATGGCATAACACTTTGGAAAATGGTTTGGCAGTTTTTTAAAAACATACACCTCATATAATCCAGCCATTTCACTCCTAGACATTAATTGTGGAGAAATGGAAGTAAATGTCCATACAAAGATTTGTACATGAGTGGTCATAATAACGTTATTTGTAATAGCCCCAAACTATACACAAGTATCCACCAATGGATAAATGGATAAACAAGTGGTATATCCATTCAGTAGAATATTACTCAGCAACATGTAAGGAATGAACTATTGATATACTGCACAATATGAATCAGTATCAAAATAAGTAAACTGAGTGAGTGAAAGAAGCCAGAAAAAGGAGTACACACTGTATGATTCTGTTCATATAAATTTCTAGGAAATGTAAATTAATTTGTAGTTCCAGAAAGCATGGTTGCCTGAGGATGGGGGGACATAGTTTCTCTAGGATGTATGCCTCTAAGAGTAATTATAGTGGGCCACAAGGAAACTTTGGGGGATGATGGATATGTTTATTATGTTGATTATAGTGCTGGTTTCACATGAAACTTAGCAAATTTTATACTTTAATAGATGTGGTTTGTATATCAATTATTTCTCAATAAATCTGTTTAAAGAAATGGATGTTACATTGGCCAAACATGATAGTTTTTAACTGAAAATCGTTTACATTTGTGGTCTACTTTCTACAATTGGTTAGAACAGTTGATTATAGGTATCTTTTTATTTCATCTCTTAGGATGTGGAGCCACCCAAAATTTCAAGTGCAAAAGCTATTTCTGTTAAGCAAGAGCCCAAAACATCCTCCAGTCTTCCTTCTGGCAATAATAATGGCAAAGTCCTCACAACTGAAAAAGTAAAGAAGGAAGCTGAAAAGAGACCAGCTGATAAAGTAAGAATTTAATCTAGTTTTTAAAAAAGGAAATTAATTGTGCTTATAGGCAGGAACAATTCTTTGGTGTTCACTTCTTTTATATAATAGTAGGTAAAAGTACACAATAATTACCCAGTAAACATATTTGGATAATTATAGATGTCGATTTTTTGAAAAATCAGTAAAACTTAGAAACTTTTTTTTTAACCATTTATTGAAGTCCTTGGCAACACGCAGTTGAGCCCTAGGCGATGTGCTAATTTCAAGTATAAACTTTAATCCATAACTTAAATATTAAATATTCTAAATGGAACAGTTGCTGAGAAGAAAAGATAGGAAGGAATAAGTGACTAAATGTGAAATTTGTTACAAGATGATGTGTACCTTAACAGAGCTGCAAATAAGTCTTGGATTGCCTATTTTGAATGATTTTTGCACATAGTCAATTATTGAGATTTTAGCACTTCGTAAAAAATACATAAAAAAAATCTTTAGTAATCCCTGCCCTTAAAGTGGAGTATATTAGTCCCAAATGTTTTCATACTTGTGATAAATATTGGCTATTCGTAAACTATATTGTTTTCTGTGCTTTTAAATTTATATAAATGGTATCATACTGTACATGTATATCTTTTGGCAACTTTTTCATCACTCAGAAATGTGCTTTTGAAATTCATCTGGGGGCGCCTGGGTGGCGCAGTCGGTTAAGCGTCCGACTTCAGCCAGGTCACGATCTTGGGGTCCGTGAGTTCGAGCCCCGCGTCAGGCTCTGGGCTGATCGCTCAGAGCCTGGAGCCTGTTTC